ACCCCCCTACATTTAGTTGTCTTTTCTTTTCACAGCTGCTGAGAAGTACTCCAACACTAAACTGTTCTTTGGACATAAGCTCCTCGGGTGCAATGCAGAACTGGGGACATTAGCCATWAAAAGGTAATCCCTGGGACCAAGCACTGTGGTCAGCTGGCTTCTGCTTAATCATTCATAAAACCTCAAACAGTTGAGCAATCTCAGTTTTGAAACTACTGTGAAGGCAAAACCTTGTACYAGCTTTGGAAAGGAGAGACATCGAGGCAGGGTTCATGGGGAGGCTGAGAAAGGTTTAAGCAACTCAGGTTTAAGCCCCAGCCTGACAACAGGCACACACTTCCTGATCTGTGCAGCGGATAAACATGCCAGTATCTATGGCACTGGGTTCAGGGACAGATTGCTCATCAGGGAAGGCAGATAATTGGTGGTGCCCTATCCCTGGAAGTGTCCCAGGCCTGGCTGGATGAAGCTCTGAGYACCCTGGTCTTGCRTCTCTGCCCATGGCAGGGGGTGGAACAGGCTGAGCTTTAGGGTCYCTTCCAACCCAAACCACTCTGCAGTTCCATGACCTTGCTTCCCAGCCTTTCTCAGAAGTTCTGGTCCTTCCTCCACCCACCTGGCAGGTGCTGCAGGCTCTGCAAAACAGCAGTGTTGTCCCAAAGGTGCCTGCAGCATTGCTGAGTAGACCTGGCAGAGTTATGCTTTTGATGCAGGATAATTATTTATCCTAAAGCTGAGCTTCCCAGGCATCAAGAGCCGATCTTCCCTCAGCCTCAAAGATGAGTGACACATTTTGCAAAAGGAAAATCCTCTGGGCACAGTGGTGCTGAGCTGGCCTGGAGTTACAGGAGGATTAGCCATAGAATYATGGAAGGGACCTTAAAGATCAGATTGACCCAAGGGACTCTCTTGCTTCCAGATCAGACCAGCAGACCTTGGAAGTGACCTACGATCTCATTGTGGGCTGTGATGGAGCCTTCTCCACAGTCAGAAAACAGTTCCTGAGACAGACACGCTTCAACTACAGCCATGAGTACATTCCTCATGGCTACATGGAGCTGTCCATCCCTCCCAAGGAYGGAGATGTGAGTGTGCCTGGCCCAGGGGCTGCTACAACCTTCGCAGGCTGCACATCCCACCTGCTTCTCACTGCTCTGCTGTAACAGCTTTGGAAGAATTAATGTCTTACCTGGGGTTCAGGCAAGGCATTAAGCCTTTCCTAAGAGAAGTCATGGATCTCTTCCTTTTCCAAAAGTGGGGCCGGTGTTGGTACCTGCACATGAAAATCCTAGAGAGCCTTGTTGGTGGAGTGGTGGGGTTAATTCTGAGAGGGCTCTGAGAGGGCCTGGGGGTATGGGAACATGTCCATGAGGATAACAATTGCAAAGTATCAGATTTTTTACCCATATTTCTTACCCTTTCCCTTGCCCTGTGTCTCCCTGAAGCATCAGGGACCAGAAAGGGCTCCTGTAGTTGTGTACTCCCATGGGAGCTATTGTGCTGGTGTGGAAGGGAGCCAGAGCCTGGGCTGGGAGAGCTGAACAGGGCAGGGGAAGGAGACAAGGCAATTTTCTTTCTCTTTCAGTTTGCCATGGAGCCAAACTACCTCCATATCTGGCCAAGAAACACCTTCATGATGATTGCACTGCCCAACATGGTGATAAGCCAAGGCCATGTTCTCTTGGGGCACAGGGCRGGGCTGGTGGGGATGAACTGTCTGTGGTGGCAGGGATTGGGAGGGTCAGGAGTCACAGASTAACAGAATCACAGAATCCATTTGGTTGGAAAAGACCTCTGAGATTGGGTCCAACCTGTGACCCAACACCACCCTGTCACTGTTCCAGTGGCTCACTGTGACTGCTGGGGGACAGGCTGGGCACTGAGCTGCTGCTCCACGTGTCACATGCTCTCTCTGCCCTCTGGGCTTCTTACTGACCTTCCTTCCTGGCTGACAGGACAAGTCCTTCACCTGCACGCTCTTCATGCCCTTTGAGCAATTTGAGAAGCTCACAACAGGCGAGMAAGTGCTGAGTTTTTTCCAGACCTACTTCCCAGATGCTATTCCCCTCATCGGAGAGTAAGTGYTTCCATCTCCCCTTTCCACTCATCAACACAGTTATCTATTATGGGGTGGGCTTTTTCTTGGATGATAACAACAGTCTCAGCTGTGTTAGGCAGTTTCCTTTCCTCTTGAGATGAATTATTGCAGGACTTCATATTAACTGAAAAACTTCAGCTATTCCCTGGTATGTCCTTCCTGCACTGACCAACATTTAACTCTGCTCACAGTAAGAGGACCAAGATGCCAATGGTCAAAGTTATGTGCAGAGCTTAAAACCTGCAAACAAAATATCTGGTCCACAGCAGGGAAATGGACTTCCACATTTTTCCCAGCACAAATAGCCTAGTGCACAGGTTTGGGGTTTGCATCCCAAAGCTGACGGTGCCTGCGGTCTGGCTTCCTGAGCTTGGACATGGCATGGCTTGCTCTTCTCTCCTGTGGTCCCACACCACAAAATCTTCTGTTTTACCTGAAGGCAAGAGCTGAAGCACGATTACTTTTTGCTGCCAGCCCAGGCCATGATCTCTGTCAAGTGCTCTTCCTACCACCTCTCTTCCCGGTGTGTGCTGATGGGAGATGCTGCCCATGCTGTTGTGCCCTTCTACGGACAGGGCATGAATGCGGTGAGTTCAGGCTGTCCCTGTTGTGGGGTCCCCACTCCTTTTGCCTCAAAGTCCTGGTTTCAGTGTTTAACTCCACAGAATTCATGGCTGGCCTGTCCCACAGCCTRATCTCTGCACTGGCAGGTGTTGAGCTCCTCCTCCCTCCTGGGGAGGGGACAGGGTGATGATGTCCCCTTCCCATGGAGCAGARGCTGTGTGGGAGGCTGTTCCAGGCAGCTGGGAAAGGCAATCCCCTGGGTTTTGCTCAAGATCCCTCTCAGAGGGGCCTGGAGTCAGACTCCTGCTCTGAGGCTGCGGTCAATGGGACCAAACAGCTCCATTAGCTAAGCATCCATGAGAGCACTTCTCTTGAGTGYGTGGTTTCTTTATGCCTACTAACCYCATAATATTCCTTCCAGGGCTTTGAAGATTGTCTGGTCTTTGATGAATTAATGGACCAGTTCCACAATGACCTTGGTAAGTGAGGTGGCTGGGGAGGAGCAGGAGCAGAGGAACGTCCCTCTGCAGCTGAGGGAGCTGCATACCCTGCAGGGAGCTGCCTGTAAAGAGCTGCTGTCTCCCCTCAGGTGCCTGCCTCCCTGAGTTCTCCAGACTGCGGGTGCCAGACGACCATGCCATTTCGGATTTAGCCATGTACAATTACGTGGAGGTGGGTGAGCCCTGTGGTTCCATGGCCGTGCACACGCTGCTGCTGTCAGGATGCACRCAGCATCCTGGCAAGACTCTGGCTGGGTCTCACCCTGGCAGGCTTTAGCCTCAGCGCTCCTTGGCAATGTCACTGGGGCTCAGGAGGTGCTGCTCCCTGCATGACYTCCAGGACAGGCAGTGGGAGAGGTAGCAAAGCACAGGGGGGCTCTGCCAAAACTCCTTGCAAGGCGGTGGCTGTTGCTCTGTTGCAGATGCGTGAGCACGTGAATTCAACGTGGTTCATTTTCCGGAAGCACGTAGACAACTTTCTCCATACCCTCATGCCTTCCACCATCGTCCCACTGTACACCATGGTAAGCCAGCATGTCACTCCCCACTGCCATGAGCTCCACCTGCCTGGCTTTGGGGTGGTGACATACTCCTGCAACCCTCCCAGGTGACCTTCACCAGAATTCGCTACCATGAGGCCCTTCAACGCTGGAAATGGCAGACAAAGGTTGGTCAAGGGGGGTGCCCATCCTCCCAACGCCACGAGCCTTGGGAGCATCCTGCACACCAGTGCTGCTCAGCTGCAGAGGGCAGATTTGGTGGTGGGACATTGCCAGTTTGCTGCAGGGTAGCAGCCAGCCTCTGATGATGTTGGGGTTTCTCTTTGCACTTGCAGGTAATTAATCGAGGGCTCTTTGTCATGGGGGCAGCAGGGCTGGGTGGCACCTACCTGCTGATAAAACRTCTGGCACGGAACTTGGATTTCTGCTTAGAAGACTTGTGGGGCTGGTCCCATCATCTGAAGAATATTGGAAACCTTTCCTTTGGCACACGAGTGGCTTAAGTGTACAGGGAGCTCCTTGTTGTCATAAAGCAAAGGCTGTTGACTCAGTTGGGTGTTGTTTCTCTTGGGATGTGCTTTGGCAGCTCCTGCAGCCCCTTGGAAGCGGTTTGGCCTGTCTCCCTCTCCCAGGTGAGAGGAGCCCATCAGGCACAGAGTGYCCAGAGAGCCTCTCCAGGGCTCAGGTGTGTGACTGTGGCAACTTGGTCTCAAGAGATGTGGTGTGTAGATGTGGCACTTAGAGATTATGGTTTAGTGTTGGACCTGGCAGGATTAATGGTTAGACACAATGATCTCAGAGATTGTTTCCAGACTTAATGATTCCATGATTCTGTGACCTGACCAGTGTGTCCCAGCCTGCAGATTTCTACTCTTCTCAAAATCAAGCCAACATTTAGAGAGTCCTCAAGCCAAAATTAGCTGCAGCCTGGGATAGTACTCAGAGCAGTATCAGACACACTTGCCTTCTTCTTACCTTCCCTAGACCCTCACAATCACCACTGAAGAACAATAAAATGGCCCAAATTAATCCCTGATCCAATGTGGCACAGCCAATCTCGTTGGAAGTGGTTTACACACAGCTACCAGCACATGGGCAGGGATGAGAACTGCTCTGCATTATTCAGTGAGTCGGTTTTGGCTTGCAAGGGAGCCAAACCATTCAGGGCATGTATGGCAAATGGTGTAGAAAACAGTTTGTTTCTCTAGCTGGGATCTTTCCCAAGCACTGCACCTATGAGAGATGGTGGCAGCAATGAAAAGGTGATTGTAGTTTCTCCAATGAACCCTTTAGCTGTTGTCCTTGTACATAATTGTTWGCAGGACAGATGTATTTACCTTGTGTATCAATCTTTATTCATGTTGAACCCCTTCAGAAAGCAAATGAAGATGGMACACAATACAACTGTAGGCAAATTAATCCCAAACTTAAAGCAAATAAGGAATTGTATCTCTGCGCCACTGACCCACCATGTAAGAGCAACTGGCTGCTGTGTGTGATTGGGATAAGTGCTGAGCTGGAGATGCTCCAGACACTGCCAGGTGTTCTGCACAGCTGGCTCTTGGTATGTTGGATATGCTTGCAGAGCAGGGAGAAGATCATGCCCCAGGGGAAGAAGTGTGCCTGACCTTCACCCTTCAGGGAATTTTCCAGGTGCTCAGCACCAAAGTTTCACAGWTCAAACAGTGGCTTCTTCCTGTGCAGAGAACTTCAAGGCATGGTGGAGGTAAACCAAGCACGCAGGAGCCCAAGAAGAACTTTGCCTGAGGTAGGTGTGAGCAGGGAGCAATGTCAGGAAGCAGTCGGTGATTTGGAAAAAAGATTCAGTGCATGTTCTCCAGCTGCTCTTCATCTCAAGGTACAGGTGCTCACTAGACCTCAGGGCCCATCACATCACTGCAGCTTGTGGAGTGGCTGCTTGGACCCTTTATGCCCAAGTCAGCAGTGAGTTCTTTGAAAAACATTGCATAGTGGTGGAGATCAATGCAGCAGGGGAAGGCATGGAGCAGCCTGGGAGCAGATCCTGCTGGAGCAGATGAGAGACGGCAGTTTTGAATTCCCAGCTCAAAATCAAAACTGGGAGCACTCTGTGCTCTCAGCTGGCTTTGGGGCTTGGTGTCAAAGTCTCCTGACAGAAAGCAAAGTTATCATCAGGAGATGGGGCAGGAGCCACTGCATGTTCCTGTGGTGAGGCCTGAAGTTGTGTGTGTTCCCTTTTCCCAGTTCCACTAATCCAGCAGTCAAGCAGTGGGCCAGGAGACTGGCATGGTGCAGTCCCTCAGCCAGCACCTGACATGAGGGGAGCCTCTTGGAAGAAGGGAAGAWACCATGAGCTTAAAGAAGAGGGGGTGGGAGCCTTAGTTCAACATTTCCTTGATTTGAGCTTTCCTTAGTTTGGCATTTCCTTATTTAACAGTGGGTCCCAGTGCTGCCAGGTGTTGCCTTATTCATTAAACCTGGGGTTGACGACAGTGGTGGTGGCACTCTTGAAGAGGGGGTTATCAGCCTGGAGGGAGAGAAAGGAAAGGCTTGTGTTGGGCTGYGTTGGATTTCCAGCAAGGCTTTACCTATCCCACCCATCTCAATGCCAACAGCACAGACAGCATTGGAAGAAGGATATTTACACAGGATATTTAGCCCCCTAAAAGACAAAATCCAGCTGGGCTGAAAATGAGCAATGGGGAGGGCTCAGGTCTACGTGGCTGCCTCTGGAAAGGATGTCCCCTCCTACTGTCCCCTTCCCCGTGGATCTGAGAGTCCCAGAACACCCCACTACCRTGGACAGACTCTCTTACATCATTCCACTTGGCTTTGCTCTTCTCCTTTTCAAACCGGCGGTATTCCCGACGGTCAAGCAGCTCCATCAAGAACCGCCAGATGAGCAGGACCAGGATACCAATGAGGAACACGCCGGCAACGGTGCTGCCCACGATCAGTGGGATGTCGGGAGGCTGTGGGCACTCTAGGGGACAGACAGATGGCGTCAGGCTGCAGCCCCTGGCAAAGCAGCGAGGCTGCCGTGGTGAGGCTGGCAGCCTGCCTGTGGCAGGGCAGGAGGGGCGGGGATGGGATACCTCTCTCAGGATYGACGATGACGGTGTAAATCTCCTCRCCATCCTCCTGAATCATAYGGAAGGACATCCAGCAGTTCTGGGAATCCTTTTCCCTGCATTTCCTATCCTTGCTGCTGACCTGTGTTGAGTTGGTGGACAGATGGATGTTGGGACAGGCCTGGGAGCAGTTCTTCTCAAAGGGGCCTCTGTTGAAGAACTTGCACTCCACACAGGAGCTGCAAACAAAGAAGCACAGCTCACACATGAAACCCTCTCACCTGGCTTTGGCTACAGCTGGGCTTTGCGCAGCACAAACAGGGCTCGCTTGCACCTCCCTGGGACATCAGGGATCCCCGCCACCCCCGTGCCCTCTCCGTGCCCATTACTCACATGTGATTGCCACAGGGTGAAGGGCAGCCCGGGCATTCCTGGCAGAGGGGCGGCTGGTACCTGCCGCGGCACTGGCAGTGGTTGCAGTGGCAGGTCCCGCGGAGGCTGCACTCGTGTCCTCGGCTGTTGAGGCAGCCTGCCGTCGATTGCTGGCACTGGCAGGCGCTGCCCTCGTATCCAGACAGGCACTTGCACTTCCCACAGTCACATTGCCCGCGTGCTGCAGGGGAAGACCTTTCAGACTCTGCAGACAGCCAGGGCCCCTCCCTCTGCCCGTGCTTGGAGAGCATCACCCCCTCTGTGCTCACCATGCCACCCTCCATGGGGTGCTCAGGGAGGTCCTACAGGCTSATGTGGTGGGACCCAGCAGCCCCAAACCCTCCCACCGGGATGATGGCACAAAAAAGCAGCATCTCCCTGGGCATCTAGCTCTTCTAAGCAGTGGCCAGTTGGAGAACCTGGGTGCATCACCTGTGCCRCCGCAGAGGGAGCCGTTGAAGAACTCGCAGCCCATGTTGTCGCACTGGCAGTAGGTGCCGTAGATGTACTTGCCAGGMGTGTTGCTGGTGTGGCAGACGCACTGCCCGCACACACAGTCCCCCTGCCCCGAGCAGATCACTGAGCTGTTGTCCCTCCGGCAGCTGCGCTCCAGCTCCTTGCTGCTCTTGCCTTTGGTGTCGCACTCACAGTTCTTCCCTGTGTATCTCGAATTGCAGCTGCCGCCAGAGGAGAGAAGCAAGCTCRGGTCAGTGGCCATGGGGCACGCACAGGGCCCAGACCTCCACAAAAGTGGAGCAAATCTGGGACAGCCTCAACAAAACCCAATGACAGCGTGTTGGTGCTAACTCCATGCTGGAGCAGGGTGGCTGACTGGGAGCAAAACTGGGAGAAATAGTGCTTTTTCCCCCAGTTGCATTCCCAACAAGTGGCAAGAAATTACAGTTATATTTATAATTTCTAAGCTCTTGCCAAGAAGATGTGATTATTACCTGAAGAAATCCAGGAAATTTTTCTTTCCTTGTGACTGAGGGGTCATGAAGCAATAATTACACTAAAAGACCTGTGTGAACTGCAGCCAAGAAGTGGGATTTTGAGAGATTTCTACAGAAATCTGTGTCTGCTCTGTGGGTATACAGGGGGATGATTTGATACTGGGGTGGATGGGTGGATAGCTGGATGGATTGAGGCCCTTAGGAAAGCAGCATAACTTCCACCAACAGCAAAGCCAGCCTGTGTCCCCTGCCTACATGAACACAAGGGACCGCTCCAAGGGGAATGCATGACTGCACCTCTCTGAACAAAAAAATTTGTGCAAAGCTACAGAGCCCAGYCCTGGCTTGGCCCAGCATCCCTCTCCCCAGCAGCTCCCCAGCTCTGGCAGCATTTGAAATTGTGTTTTGGGTGGATAGTACATACCTGCAGATCCCACATTCGATGAYGCCTTGCCCATTGCAAGCAGCTGGGTCTGGCTTGTCATTGCAGTGGCAGTCGCAGTTGCTGGCCACATGGACAGTGAGGGTGTCTGTGAAGCCTAGCGGCCGGATGGTGAAGGAATAGTTTGGAATGCATGCCTTGGCTGTGACCTTCACTTTGAAGGTGACCTAGAAAGTGCAGAGTARGACAGGGAAGGGCCAGACATGCAGCTGTCAGAGGGTGATATCGGCCCTAGGCTGAGGACATGCACATCCAGCACAATTGAGCATCTCCCCCATCCCACAGCATCTTGGACAATCTTGGCATTAAATTAATATAAAAAGAAAGCCTGGAACAGCAACCAGGGTTCCTGTCATTAYATTGGGTGGGCAACGGGAACTATGCAAGCTGTGGGGTGCTCCTGGCACAGGAGAACATACCTCATCATTGATCTTGACTTTGTCACATATGCCTCTTGCTTCATCCATGGAGTCCTTGTCATTATTGCATTTGGAGTCATATTTGACATCCAGAGTGTCCGGCAAGGTGGAATGRTCCAAGATGATCAGAGAGGAGAGGTTCTGTGGGAAAAAGTTAAAGAAAGTGCCATCGGTTCAAGAGAAGACTAGACCAAGGAGGTATGGAGTTGCAGGTCAGGAAAAAGGGGCAGGGAGCACCCCTGGTCAGGATCTCAGCTGCCTGGGGTGGTTCTGGAAGTGCAGGTGATTGCACTGGAGAGGTGGGAAATGCAGCACTTACATTGTAGGCCACCTGGATGAGCTCAATGATATTGCTGGAGTCCTCATTCAGCTCTCCCACCGCCGACTTTGGGATCAACTCACTGAGTTTCTGCCAGTGGAGAGCCAAGAGGTGAGCACTTCCTACCACAGGACAGCAGAGCAGGAGACAGCAGCAGGAGGACACAAGCAGCTGTGTCTGTCCTCCTGGGAAGGGGGTGGAGGCACCTGGACCATCTGATGTATCCTCACCTTATAAACATCCACCACCTTACTGGTGACAGCAAAAATGGGCTGAATGTTGTTTTCAGCAAGTTTTTGGACCAGCTGGCCAACAGACGGATAGTCCTGGGTGGGAAGAGGGATAMCACGCTCAGCACAACCTCCCCCCACAGCAGAAGAGTAGACACTTTGGGTGTGGCARCACAAAATATGGTGATTATGGTGATACTTTAGTCTCTGTAAGAGGCTTTTTTACATGACATTGTCTTTTCTGCCTGGGGGAGTGAGGCAGTGCGTGTTGGAGATGCTGAGCAGCCCCCAGGTACTTACAAACTCGTTGCTTTTTTTGTACATGTTGTCCTCCAAGTGGCACTTGCCATCGTTGGGGGTCAGGATGCCCGCAAGCTTGCCATCCCCAGCGAAGTGGAAGCCATCATCAGTAGCAAACACCAGCAAGCGGGTCACGTTGCGCCAGCCAATCAGGTCCTGCAAGTGGCACAGAGAGTGGCTCGTGTCCCTGAGCAGGGCTGCAGGACAGTGCCAGCAGCTGTGGCCCTTTCCAAATTCTTGTGTCAGCCACAGCATGGGGCAGGGGGCRCGGGGAAGGTGGGTTAGGAGAGATCAGTGTTAGAAGGCTCTGGGTACTTGTACTCTCCAGCGAGACCTGCCCCRCTGCCAAATCAGAACTTACACAGAACTGGCTTCCAGAGCCCACCTGGAGAGGGGCAGAGCCACCTGAGTGCGTGGGTCACAACCTTCCAGGGTGGGCACAGGACTCACCCCACACACTGCTGCCTGCATCATGGCATCCAGCCCCCCCTCTGGGGCATCCAGGTTCCCTGAGATGAACTGCTTCCCCACTTCGCTCTCAAACTTCTTAGCGTCATCGGTCAGTGACAGGATGTGCTTGAAGGCGAAGGGAGGCTGGCAATTCTTGTCCTTGTTGGGGCAGGGGTTCTGCAGCTTCTCAGGGTGTGTGTTCACAAAGGGCAGCACCGTCTTGTCCACAAAGGAGCCAAACCCTAGGGTAGCCAGACCGAGGTTTCAGGGGCAGGGCACAGGGCACAGGGCATGGACAATCTGCTGGCTCCAGTGTACATGCCCATGTCCCTTGCCCTGCCACACCCTTCAGCCTGGCAGAGGACATCTGCTGCCACTTCCTGCATCCCCCTCCAGCCCTGTGGTTCATCCCACCACCAATAGAGCTGTGCCACACCRGAGACAGGCTCACCGATGCGCCGAGAAGAGGTGGTGCTCTCCAGTGCCCTGAGCAGCTCCCCTCCCAGCTTCTTCACCTTCTCCAGGTCATCCAGCATGGAGTAGGAGAGGTCCATGAGGTAGTAGAGATCAATGGGATACCCCATGGCACGGCGAAACTTCACCTCGAACGCAGCAGGCTGGCCTGAGGGACAGGGATGGCGGGATCAGCTGCCATGTCGTGCCAGCTTGTGCCATCAGACACCCTCCACCCTAACTCTTAGAAGAAAAGGGGGGAAATGCAGGCTGCAGCGGATGAGTGGAAGGGCATCGCTGTCAGTCCACGAGGAGGGTGTTGGGGACGCCAGGCAGAGCGTACCTATCCTCAGCTTCAGGTGCACCTCCTGTGGAGTCAGCTGTATGTCATTGCTTAGGGGCTGGTCCTGTGTTCTTTTGATGTCATTGCGTGGAAACTCAATCTCACTGCGTGGGCATCCCCTCTGCTCCAGCTGCTCGATGGTGTCGCAGCGGATGGAGTCTGGCTCGCCGGCTTTAGTGAAATTCTGTGTGGCAACACCAGTGGGAAAAAAGATCAAAGGAGCAGGAGGTGAACAGGCATCTGATAAGATGACCCAGCCCCCAAACCAGGTCTCCAGGGAATTGATGGAGAAAAGAAAATCTTTGGTGGGTATTGATGGGGAAAGGTCATGGCTGTTGGATCCCTCATGGTGCCATCCTCCATGTAGGACATCAAACACTCCCACAGCGCAGTCAGGCAGAGCCAGGCAGGCAGGGTGGCTGTCCTGATGCCTGTTAGCTGACTTTTGGAGGTGACAACTAGACAACTAGGCTACATGGACCTACCAGCTTCTTGCACCAGGCACAGCCAGGACCAGACTGGATGCAGTCYTTGCACGTCCCCACCTTCATCTGGGGACACTCCATGGCAAAGGCTGGAAAGGAGGAAAGATAGAGTTCGTGTGGGGAGAACTTAGGGATGTTCAGACACCCAAGAGCAGGCACCCATGCTGGCCTGAGCCTGGCTTGCCCCTCAAACCCATGCTGGGGGCCCTGGCAGGGCTCTCAGCTGCCTTRCTGTCCCTCAGCTGGGCTGGCTTGAGTTACCTCCAGATCCCAGAAAGTGCAAGGACACGGCCCTTGCCCACCTCTCAGTGTCATGTTCCCGCTGCTGTTGGGCAGCATTTGGGTTCCCCCCACAATTTCACTGCCCATGAAAAGTGCTGGGAGGAAGGTAGGTCAGGCTCACCTGTTGTCACCAGCAGCAGCACCCAGGTCACTGCTGGCAGCTGGAGGCAGCATTCACAAGGCATCTTCTGCAAGACCAAAAGCATTCTTGTAACCACCTGGGATGTGCCCCGGGGATGGGGCAGCTGCAGTTGCTCTGGGCAGCCTGTGCTGACATSACATTCATTAACGCTGTCATGTGTCACACCTTACCCAAGCAAAGSCCTGGAGCAAACACTGACAGCACAGAAGCCTTGCAACATGGAGGAACATGGGGAAGTCAGAAAAGAGGAATTTGTTAAAAGAAGAAAAAGGAATAAGAAAGTACCAAGGAACTACAGACATTGCCCTTTTTAGCAACATTAGACACAGTGTCTGCAAGCCATCATCAGTTTCAAAACAGCTCTGATACTGCCCTGAGTAAGAACCACTCCTTGGCTCCGGCCATCACCCCTTCCTGAGAACTTGCTGAATAAACAGCTGAGAGTGATGTGGAAATGATAAAACAAGAGAAACCTTCAAAAGGCACTGAGGCAGTTTAGGATGTTGAGCTGCTCAAATTCACTTCTGAGGCATCTGGGTGTCCTGCCTTAGCTCATCAGCYTCTGTAAGACACACAGCAGCTAAGGATGACACTGGTTAGCCTTGAAAGGATGTCTGGTGTCCTCCCAAGGGCAGAGAGAAGGTCTAGGTAGGTCAGTGGGTAATGTTTACACAGCTATGATATAGACTTTGAGATGTGGCAGGACTCTCAGGGTAGTGGCCACCACTGATTATGGCAGGGGCCATCTGGAAGCCTACCCTGCCCTGGATCCAGAGCTCCCAGCCAACACCACATGGCTGCACAGCCAACAAGAGGCACCCCTGTGGTCATCGGGTTAAACCCTCAGGGTGACATGGCCTAAGAGCTCACTCTGCCCATCCTCTTGGTGCACAAGACCATCCTTTGGTGGGTGGCCAGAGCCCTCGTAAACAGAGAGATCCTCTGCTAGTCCTTCTCCACCTYCCCAGTCCCCCTTGGTAAGATTTTAAGGCCATCATTTACTGTCACAGCGGCAAGGTCCTGATCTGTGTGACATGCACTCTCTCTGCTTAGCTGGCCCAACACATTCCTGTTACCTCCTGATTCTGCCAGCAGAGTTGGAGCTGGCAGGAAAGAAAAGTGGCTCCTGCCCTTGTTTCCTGTAGAACTCAGTGACTGACATCCCAAAAGTGCCTAATTAGGCTCCAGTTCTGCTACAAGCCAGAAGTTCCCACACATGCTGTGAGGACCAAATCCATGGACTAATAAGCTCCTGCTATTCCACCTGCCAGGTGTTTCCAAGYGTTTAATTCCTGCTGCCATGCCAAAGAGTGGGGTGGTGATGGGATAGARCTGTGTGAGCACCTTGTTCTTGCTGGAGGTTGGAGTTTCCAGCTTACAGGCTCATCTTGTAAAAYAGAGCAAGATTCCAATTAAAAATGGATTAAAGAAAGCTCCCAAACTCCAGAAATACAGTGGGACTCTCAACATACTCCCCGTGCTGGCTGCTATCAAATACTGTGAAGTAGAATTCAYGTTGTGGCTGGATTTGGATGCCTTTTTCACCCCTATGTGGTTTCTTGCCTTTGTCACAAGAATGTGAAGCACATCCTGATATGTGAAGAGAGCAGCAGCAGAAGTTCAACACTTCTCTATGCCATGGAGGGAAATTACATCCTGCTGTGTGGGCGGCGGTGCACATAACGTGATGCAGGGTGGCTTTCAAAGAGAACAAATGGGGCTCTGCCTTTGTTTGCCTGCTTAGAGCCTTCAGAGAAAGGCAAAACAGGTTTTCAGCCTGACTCTGGTGAGCAGGSTGCTGCCACAGGCCTCCGGTCTCTGCAGAGGACAGATTTATGGGGTGAACTCTCTCCCATGTGCTTGGTCCCTGTCTGTGGCAACCCTTGGCTCCGGGTGTCTGTGGGACTCTTGCCCTGCCCTGGGAGGGAGAGAAGGAGGGCATTTGTGATGCTGGGTCTCCTGGGATCAGAGCCCTGCTTGGGTGGGAAGGGGCTGCCCCTTGGCTGTCCTGCCCGGGGTAGTCTGAGGACAMCACACTGCAGCCTGCTGAGATCACTCCGAGCAGCACCAGAAAAGCACAAAACCGCTGTGTGAAGCAGGATGTGACAGCTGCGACAGCTGAGATGGCAGAATGCGCCCTTTAGACCCTTCCCACAACTTGCAGCAGCCCTGTTGCAGGGTCCGTGCTGGCCACAGGACATGATGTCACTTCTCATGTTCACAGCTTTGCTTCTCACCTGCCAGGACGCTGGGAGCTGTGGCTGTGACATTGGGAAAAGCACCAAAAACAGGGACCAAGCTGCTTTCCCTGGCACCTGGGGTGTGCCCTACATTTCATCTGCATCCAAGAACCACGGAGATGTTGTAAAGGACCTGCTCTCCATGGGGGGAGCACATCCGCAGAGTGTTTGATGTGTGCAGCACACAGAGAGAGGAGAAGAGCGAGGCCCTCACTGCCTCTCCCAGCTATTCCTCCAGATCCCCAGGGCTGCAAAGACACCCTGTGCACTGGCACTCCTGGCGGTGACACTGCGCTTAGCCCTCCAGGCAGCCATCCCTGTCACCCCCGTGCCATCCTGCCATGCCACTTCCCTCTTCCCCACTGCATCCTGCAGCAGACAGTGGGAGAGATCCCCTGAGGAAGAGGAGGGATCACAGGAGGGGTATGTGGCAGTTCACAGCCCTGATGCTGCAGGTGAGCACACAGCCCATGCCACCCTGCCCAGGGCCATGGGGGCGTGGGATGAGYACACTGAACTCTCTCTGCTCTGCTTTCCAAGCCCACAGGGTGGTGAGGGGAGGGAGTTTTGGGGGTTCTGGCATCCTCCCCACAATAACCACCTGCAGTTCCAGACAAAGGCAAAACCTCCTCCTGTTACAGACCAGGCAAGCTGCCTTTGCAAAGGCAGAACAGAGTGACCCGCTTGTGGGAGGGATGCCATGCCGAGCTCCCTGAAGCTCCCTGAAYGCAAGTGTCCAGAGGTTAGATGAGGAATTATAAAAAAAATGCTCTTGAAACACCAGAGCTACAAAACCCCTTGTTGCCTGGCTGCCTCCCCACAAAAAAGGAGGAACAGAAGCATAAAGATTGAGATGCTGTACTTGCCTGAGCTCCAGTCCTTGTCTCTGTTCCGTACTTGGGCTGGGATGAGGATGGTCTCAGCTTCTCAAGCTTGTCTGGAGAAAGCAGCCGGGCATCAGGATCTCTGTGACATCCCCCAATCTTTCCTTCCTATTTCTGTCTTACACTTGCGGGGGAAAGCGGAAGTCAAGAGGGGTGCCTATGGGAGGGCGTTCCCCCAAAACCCCAGCCAGTCCCACTCAACCCAGTCAAACCCACAGCATCCTGCCCAATGGGACTGGGGCTGGGCTCTCTGGGATACTCGGGGGTTTGCAGCCTCCCAGTGCACCCGAGAAAGGAACCCACCCAAACCCCCACGCTTTACATGAACTTTTCACCTTTCACAGCACTGCTGGGACCAGTCATAACTCCTGTGGGCAAACAAAGCWAGGAGTGGGAAAAAACACTTCATTTGGGAGCTACTGGCAGCCCTTGCGTGTGGAGAAGATGGGGAGCTGGCTCCTCTCAGACCATGGCTTGGGCTCTGAAATGTTTGTGTCAGGGTAGCCAGGCTTACACACATGACAGGGGATTCAGTTGCTGTCCTCACTCTGGCAAAGCTCARGGCTGTGTGGGGAATTGGTTTTAAGCAGCCATCCAGTGCTTTTGTGTCAGCTTCAATAACTCCTCCCAGCAGCATCGTTTCCCTCATTAGAGAGGAACCGGCTCCTGGCAATTTTCTCTCAACCTCTTCAGGGCACCACAGTAAAACAAAGGTCATTTAGAAAACATACAGGATTGTAGGGTTTTTTTAAAGGACAATTAATGTGACTCTTTGTTGATTGTTTTGTAGGTTCCCCTTCCACGCAAGCTGACGCCGAGTCACCTGTTGCATMATCATGAAATCCCAGAAGAGTTTGTGTTGAAAAGGACATTACAGAYCATCTTGCTTCAACCCCCTGCCATGGTCATGGCAACCAGAGGTGTTCTAAGACCCCGATGCTGTTCACCTACTGCTGCGTTACAGTTATGGGTTAATTTTTGCAACCAGAAAAGAGATTGCAGTGCCAGCAGAAAACTTCCAAGACCTGATGGATGTTCTGTGGATTGGTGCCTTTATTAAAGAAGACAGCATAGTCCCAGCTTGGTTTTGTCAGAGCCAGGTGTAGCAGGAAAGCAACACAGCRGTGCTGGCAGTGGGACTGGAGCATCACAGCAGCTGATAGAGGATAGGATGGGGATGGAGCCTGAGGGCGAGCCAGTTGGAGCTGGGATGCTCACCCAGGCTGGATGGCTGCGCTGGATGATGCAGGGCACTCCCTGCGCCTGGAGTGCGTGAGCTGCGGTAGGTGAAGCTGGGAAGGGTGGTGGAGCTTCCTGCCAGTGGTGTGGGTTGCAGATGTAGGGAGAGGAAGTGTGGTTGAATGAGATGAACTGCCGTAATCTTCCTTTTGTATTGCATAAAACAATACAAAGCTTAAACTGAGCCCTTAATGAGYGGATCTTTTCTCCTCAGTTATTTCATGGGGTTGTCCAACCACTTTGCTACTAGTGACTCAAGGTTGTAGGAAGGGGGTGGGAGAGCTGTGAGCTTCCAGAGTTGGAATGCTGGAAGCAGAGAGGGTGTACCATGGGTCCTTGCAACCAAAGCTGGAACTCGCTGCCATATCCCAGTTCCTTCCAGCTGTTCCTCAGGCTCTGCTGCAGGTTTGGCCTTCAGTGCTGCAGGTGAAGTGCTTGGTCACAGCACATATGCTTCCCAGCCGGTTTTGTAAGCATTTTAAGCTGTTAAACATTCCCTTTCTRTTTTAATTGCCTTTATTTTTATTGGTTCCTCTTTTTATTTTTACTAGAGTGGATTGATTCCCCCTACCACTAACTGCAGGACTGCTGTGGTTTGTGCAGGATGCACTTGAGCAGCTGGGGTGGGAAGCTGGGCATCCAGCTGGGCACTCTCAGAGTGGTTTTACCCCAGTCATTAATTTTGATAATCAGAGKTGTCATTTTGGGCCTTTGCTCCTAAATTATGCTCACCCAGCCTACAGCAGGATAAGGGAAGTTTTCCCCCCAATGAACATTAAATCTTTCTGTCCCTGATAAACATTAAATCTTGTGGATGCCCCATCTCTGGAAGTGYTCCATGTCASGCTGGACTGGGCTTGGAGCAACCTGATCTAGAGGTGGTAGAGTGGGACAAGATGATCTTTAAGGTGCCTTTCAACCCAAACCATTTTGTGATTCCCAKTCTTCAACATCCTCCCGAGGGGAAGCAGAGGGGCAGACATGGATTTCTTCACTCTCGTGACCAGTGACAGGACTTGAGGAAATGACAGGGACCCACGTCAGGGGAGGTTTAGGCTGGATATCACGAAAAGGTTCTTTCCCCAGAGGGTGTWAGYGCACTGAGTAGGCTCCCCAGGGAATGGTCATGGCCMCAAGGCTGCCAGAGCTTCAGGTGCATTTGGACACTGCACKGAGTCACAGGGTGAGATTATTGGGGTGTCCTGTGTAGGGCCACGAGKCAGACTYRATRATCCTGATGGGTCCCTTCCAGCTCAGCATATTCCATGATTCTGTGATTTTTCTMAGCACCTTCCCRAAGGCCTCTCCCTGCATTTCCTCGGTACCCACGAGGAGCGTCACCAGCTGTGCACTTCTATGGCCCAATATCAGGGAAACACAGCCTGGAGGGGGATGGAGAGGGCAGAGAATGTGGAAARCAAAGATGCATTAACCAGGGAGGACCTGTCAGGGCTTGTTAAGATCAAACACACTATGGGTCCAGGCTTGGAGCTTTTTATTCACCTTGAAGCGAGGAGAAGCAGCTTTTCATTCACTCCTCCTGTGTGTTGAAAGGTGTAGCTGAGGCTAGGTTGCTTTGTTGCAGTGCCCACCTGGGCTCATGACTGCAGTCTGGCAGGTGTTTGGGCTCCCTAGGGGCTTGCTGGCTATTTTTTACTGTTTTCATTGTATAATTTCTGGCAGGAAGTTTTAGAYTGTTTTATATGCTGCTGGGACAGCCTGGTCACTTGCTGATGCTACTGTTACTGAGAAACCTCCAAAATCATTGGGTTAAATAGGACTCTCTCTAAAACTGTATTTTTAGTGTTAGTGAGTAAGGCTTTATTCCTGGCTAGGAGGTGCGTGCGTGGCTGACAAAGTCCCACATTGACCACAGCACCTTTTTCTCTTATTTATACATTATATATATAAAACATATGAGATATAATGCATAATATAAATTAATGTTAATTGGTTCTAAATTACATATTTCTCTTCATTAATTACTATTCTATCCTCTACTGCTTATTGATTTCTTGCTCTTCATGCTAACTTGGTCCACATTCTTTAGTCCTTTTATCATCTCTTTCTCAGGCAGGAAGTCTCCAACTCTCGAGGCCCTTATCTCTGGTATCTTCTGATTACTAAAATGTCACTGATGTGCCATAAATTTAAGATCCCAGACGTCCAATCTTCACCTCCCTTTGGCTCTGTTTATTGAAGCTTGTCAGGGTTAACCAACTAAAGGTTTTGGTGATTTAACGATCTAAGTAACAGTAAGAGACTTGTGAAGAGACTTAAAAGGTGGGTGTCGCATACGAGTAATTAACTAATTAAAAATGACTTTAGGAAAGTTATATCATTTCTGACACCACCAGGAGCTCTCAGCTCTTACACCAGATTTAGAGCTGTGTTGACAGTGTTGTGTTTAACCCAAGCACACGAAACACCCTCAGCTGCTCTCAGCAATCACCCATGGCAGGCTGCAGCTGAGCAGAGGGCAATGAAGGCCCCGCGGGTTGCCCGTGGAGAGGCTGGCGGCACAGCGCTGCCATCGCACCTGTCCCCTCACGTTCCGGAGCGCACGGCCGGGGCCGGCTGGCTGCGGCTGCCGGAGAACATCGCCGAGCTCCGCCCGTGAAGGGGCAAGGCGGGCCTGGCGGGCGCCGGGCGGGCGCAGCCGGAAGGCACCGCCCGTGAGGGCTCGGCGCGGCCCGAGCCGGCCCCTTCCGCTCAGYACCGCCATGGTGGGCAAGGCCAAGCGTCCCCGGCTGCACCGCGCCGCCCCCCGGCCCTGGCCCGCCCAGGACCCGCCGCGGCTCCCCGAGCCCGGGCCCGGCCTCGCCGCGGGCGGATGGAGCGCGGCGGCCGGGAAGGTACCGGGGGCGGGGACACGAGGGGCGGCGGCGGGCGGGGGCTGCCGGCGGCCGCCTCGCGGAGACTTCTCCGCCTTCCCCTGCGGAACGGGCCGGTGCCCGCACACCCCAGCCCCAGGCGAGCTCCTGCGGGGCTGTCCTGGGCACAGAGCCCCGGTGGGTGTCCGTGGATACCCCCGGGCCTGGCCGTGCTGAGGCGGCGGTGGTGGCCGGCGGGATGGCTCAGGCCGGGCCCTTCCCGTCATGGAAAGCCCTGTTGAATCCCTGGTGCTGCTGGAGCTGCTGCTCCCCAAGCTCCGCTCACCCGTGTGACACGAGGGGGGCTGGAGCTGCTGCTCCCCACGCTCCGCTCACCCGTGTGACACGAGGGAGGCTGGAGCTGCTCCGGCGCTGTGCCATGGCAGTCCCAGCGTGCTGCTCCAGTGCCGCTGTGCCGTGGTGTCCCCAGCCCACGGCGACACACGTGTCCCAGCGCTTCTGCTGCTGTGCTGTGTTGCCGTGGGATAACCTGCGTGCAGCTGTGAGGATAGTTAGCAAGGAGCGTTGGGAGAGGGGGAGGTCTTGCAGTGCTTCCCTTCAGTTTTAGTTTAGGGGAGGTGGAGAATTATTTAGGGTTTTTCGGTTTCCCCAGCTGTGTTTTGAATACACAGTTGAGATTAAAGCTGGGTGCGTCCCTCAGCCTCCTCACAGCAAGGACGAAACACCAGTAAATGTTTTTATATGCCTGCACTTTCCATGTGRGGAACTGCCTGCACCAAATACAGCTGGGTTTATACCACTGTRAAGTAATGTGTTGGTGCTGGTAGATACTGTTGGCTAAAGTAATAAATTCTTCTAATCCATCCAGACTAGCTGCTGCAGGTCTTAGGAYTTACGGAGGCATTGCATGCTTAAAGCATGATGCTGAAGATTTGGTGAGTTGCTAGTAGTCACTGAATCTGCTTAATGTCCATTGATTTAGGCTTTAATCCCCTAATCTGCTCATTTGTTGCTTATCTGTATTGTTCTGTACCTGTAATAAATCTGTCTTTTCCTGAGGCTGCTGTTTGCAGCTCTCCTGGGAGTGAATGCGCTTGAGTGAGGCGAGGTTGAGTTGAGGCACGAGTCTGTTAGGAACAGAACACTCAAAAATGAAACGTTGTGAAACTTACTTCTGTGTGGAAGAGCCGGCAGGGGGAGCAGGATAGTGCGGTGCCTTACCTGCCTTTGCCTGCTCAAGAGAGACRCCTTCTCACTACCACTGTTCCTATTTGGATGGTGCTGTGTTTTTAAAATTTTTTTAAACAAATRTTGCCTTGTTGTTTTTGTACTGATTCCTGCTTTATGTTTCTTTTGGATAAGGACTGGGACTTCACATCTTCTGGTGTATTTTCTGGACTGAAGATTGACCCTGATACCCTAGTGAAGAAGCTTGACTTGGACTCCAGGAGTGTCATTTCCTCCAGAACAGGTTTGTTGTATTTTGAATGAGTGCCACATTAGGTTGTGAGCAGAGATGCTGGGGACTGCATTTGCAGGAGCTGTCAGTGGCTATCCCAGAAGTTCAGGGAACTACAACCTAAACATGGCTTGCCGTGTTCCTGTGAAGGTTTTTAGAAGAGGTTTGCTTTTGTTTGGGCTTCTGCATGGATGTGCTTAGTGATCCCTAGGTGGGGAAGTAGCTTCAGGCTATCTGTGGAGTATCCTTGTGCAGCCAAAGACTGCCGGGGCTGAGAGCACAGTAGAGCCCTGGCTCTGATCTCTGGGCTTCCTCTGTGGCTGCTTTTGCCTTACCAGCAGCTGCCGTTGCTAACCCAGTATTTTGTCAGGAGGTTCTCATTGTGTACCAACAATGCATCACTCATAGCAGCCTGACTGCAGCAAGTCTTCTGTCCTTTGCTCTTGTGGGGTCTGTGGCTCGAGGATTCCTGGGCAGAAAAATCTTAACTCATAGGGAGTGTAGGAAGAAGGAGGACGTGATAGAGCCCTTTGATTTCCAGWCCCACAACAAGGAAATGCTCCCTTTGACTGCTCACTGGCAGATGGAGCTTTGTATCTGAAAGCAGTTTTCACTTCTGAGTGTCTACACGGTCTCAAAAAATTGAATCCCAAACCCCCACAAACTGTATGTAAATGTTTAAAAAATCCCAGAAGGAACAAACTACCAGACAGAGCCTGGTAGCGCAGCAAGCTCTCCTGATGCAGAAGATGCACGTGACTCCCGAATATCTTCTTTGCAAAGTAAATTAATTTCTTCTGTTCGTGTAGAGAAATACTGTGGTGACTTTGTTTTCCTGTCCAGGGCTACAAACAAACCMGTCACACAAGTGATAGTGGTTGCCTGAGCAGTGATGGGTTACCCACCAGCCACATTTGGGCAGAGAGTGAGGGAGGGGGGAGGTTGCTTGAGGACACATTTGGCTGCTCTCTCCACAGAAACCATGGTGAAACGTATTGTTTTCAAAACACTGGGCTCATTGTTGGTAACTCTCCTGGGAAAAGGACATGTATGCATCTGTGTGTGCATGTGCACGTTGCCATCTCTTTAATGAAATCAGACAGCATGCTGTTGGGGGCTGGCAGCCCGCAGTCCCAGCCTTTCATTGCAGGCTACAGCTGTACATGTCTGGGTTATAAATAGAGCCGTGCTGCTGGTCCCCGTGCAGTGCTGATGATGCAGATGTGCAGTGCCTGGCTGCCTCTCTCCGGGCTACGTGCTGGCTTCCTCAGACAGCCATGCTGACCCCAATGCTTTGTGCTCCTACGCACTTTCCAGATGATCAGCTAAAAATAACTGGTCATTTGGGGGCTCAAAACTGCAATTCAGCGAGGCAAAAAGTGATTTGATTATTTTTTTACATCTTCCCAAGCTGTTGTGCCCTTTCTTGTCTCACTCTGGAGCCATGTAGAGGCTTTTTCATTATGGAAATCAATTCATTTTTTATGTGTTAATTCAGTGAACTGTAACTAGGCTGTGCATACAATGGCAGACACCCTGGAGTAGAAAAGMGATTCTAGGCAGACGTGCTTTGTCTCCTGGCATCTCTGGTCAGTTCGGAGCCTGTTCAGCAGGAAATTCAACTTGACTCTAGCCCTCCCTCCACCTCTTCCTCCTCTTCCTCCTCTTCCCCCTCTTCCCCCTCTTCCCCCTCAGCCTTAGTGCACAGGGCAGGAGGGTAGGATTCTCCTACACATTGCTATTTTGAGATTTAATAACAAGACAAAAGCGTGCTTCTCTCCCACTTGCTTTTCAAGCTCTGAGAAGGTCAAGTTGGCAGACTGTAGGTGGGCTCACTATCTCCTGTGCTTTTCACAGCTAGAGAAGATTTTTTCTGTCAAGACTGCTAATGTGGCAGTTGGGAAAACAGGTATATTTGTCCTATGTGTGTGCAYGCGTGTTTGTGTGCCTCACATTATCCAAGAGTTATTCACATTGTCCAAGATTGCTGGTTTCTCTATGTTTTGTGTTTAGATCTGGCCTTATGCTGTGACTATCTTCCAAATAAAACTTAGTCTGAAGAACATCTTGGAATTGGGTTAGATTTTAGAAGATGTTGGCTTGGAGCTCRACAGTGGTCAAAAAAGCCAGTTGGCTGTTAGGAAGTAGGAGGAAAAGAGAATGCAGTGCACTGTCATGCCCTGTAAATAAATCCATGGTATAGGCAGCTATTTGATGCTATGTACAGCATCACAGGGGTTAACTAATCAACAGCAGAACATTGTTATTTCCATGGGATAAAAGTTTCACCTGGAACAGCTGTTTTGATGTGTCAGAGGCAAAGGGCTGTAGCCCTGTAGGAAACGAATCCACYGTTGTGCTGGGGCTTGAGGGCTGTTGCCTGTGCTTGCCAACAAGAGAGGACACCTCCCTCTACAATTTTTTACTCTTAATTTTCCTCCATTTGTAAGTGACCAGCTTTGCCACTCTCTGGTGGTTTTGAGGGAGCAGGGAGAAACCACAAAGTGTAAATTAGAAAATCCAGAGTCTCTAGCAGGGTTATCTCAGCTAACACTAGTGCTTGTGTGTGCTGAGGCTGAAAGGAAAGAGCCCYCTTGTTCTGGAGGATAAACTGGTGCTGTTGGTTCTTGCCAGCTGAAGGCCTTGTTTTTCTGAGGATTTCTAAGGATCATTGGTGCATCTGGTTGAGGCAGGATGCCCTGTGGAAGTATCTGCTACTCMTGATAATGGTCTGTTGCTTCCTTTAGATACAAGGCTGATTCAGTGTGCTTATGATTAGTGTGAGGTACCAGCACAGGCTGTTCTGGCATCAGTAATCCTTGTGGCATGAGAAGGAGAGGGTGGAACTGTAATGAAAAATGTCACCAAAATGGAATTCATTGTAGGTGAGTCTTGCGTTCTGTGATATAAAAARCCATGGGTCTAAAAAGGAAAGTATTTTAATATGGTAGCTCTGAGCTGTGTCGTTCTGTGAAGCAAACCTGCTGCAACTGCTTTCTCCTGCTCTGCTTTTTGTCTTTTTGTCGTAATTCATTAGCTTAGCTTAAGGTCAGATTCTAGATGGTTTCCACAGACATGTAGAAGACAAAAGCCAGTGCCATCCCTGAGAATGCTGGAATTCAGTCCTTGAGTTACTTTCTTGCTCAGTGATTGCTTCCTGTCAGTATCATTTACTTAGCTACTGACGTAATGTAAATCAAAGGCTTTGCCATAATCTAAGCYACTCAGAGACCTCTGTGACTCATGTGAGTGAATAAATCTCATCTGGGTGAGCCTCTGTAGCGTGGGAATTGAATGTTTGCTACCAAGTCAGAAATAATGTCCTATCATATTGGGGTTGCTGCTGCTCAGTTTTAGTTGATTTCTTCAGCTTTCGCTCATCAGTGTTTGCTCCTTGAAGCAAGGGCGTATTCAAGCTTGACTCTGGCCAAGCAGTTGCCTGGGAATGTCTCTTTTTTTTGGAGTCGATGATGAACAAGTTGTGGAATGATATGAGCAACTGGATTGGTAGCTTCCTGCTTTATTTTCAGCTATTCCAGAAGGGAACAGTGACAAGTCGTGTTGTTGGGAAAGCAAAAGCACAACACAGCAATTTCATAATTGTTTGCAAAATCGTCCTGATTTCTGAGGTTGGATTGGACATAAAGAAAGACTTTTCATTTTACAGTGAGGGTGACGAGGCCCTGGTACAGGTTCCACGGAGAAGCTGTAGCTGCTCCATCCCTGGAAGTGTTCAAGGCCAGGGTGGACAGGGCTTGGARCAACCTGGGATAGTAACAGATGAAAGAGGGGGTTGGACTGGATGCTCTCTGCAGGTTTCTTCCCAGCCAGGCCGCTCTGTAGGTCTGTGATTCTATGCCAGGGTGTAAAATGCAGAGTGGGATAGGTCATGAGCCTGAGCAGAGGTTGTGCTCTGAGGCCTAGAATTGTCTTGCAGCACAGGAGCCACTGTCAGTGGCATAGAGGGGAGCAGAGGRGGGAAATGACTGAGCATCTGACAGAGAAGGGGTTCCCTTTTGCTTCTGAAGAAATGTGGAGATAGAGAATAAAATCAGACTAAACAGGAATTCACTGACAGCAGTGAATTTCYGAGGTCTGCCGGCTGCGTACAGCCTTACTTTCCCCCTTTGAGGTTCTCTGTGAATTTCTTTTGTTACTAAACCTCTCTGCAAAGTCACTGACAGATCCCTTCTGGTTTGCACCTCAGCTTCTGCTCTGAGTTCCAGATCTGCTGGGTCTGTCACCTCATCTGCTTCCTTCTGCTTGAGCTCTGCACCCACTTGTCCAATCCTGTTCTCCTTTTGTAGGCTCCAAGTGAAGCAGAAAAGCTGTGCTTGGTTGGCATTGTGGTCTTGCATTAGCTTCATGCAATATGATTTGCTGTCCAGTTTTGGAGTTTTTTAATGGATGTTGTACCAGAATATTAGAGAGTCTCTGTAAGACCTCTCCTCTGACAGCATTGCTGTTCCTGCAGTGTCCAGACTTGTTACCCCTGYAGTGGATCTGCTCTACTGTTGCTGGAAGAATTGCAGCCATGACCAGGCACCCATTACTCTGCTGGAACTCTTGACAGGATATCAGTCCTTGTGTCCCATTGTTTATTCCTGTTTGTTGATTGGATTTCTGCGTGTTTATTACCTTTCAATACTATGGTTCCTCCTCCTTTGTCCTCATCTCTGATCACCTTTCCTCTGTTTTGATTTTGTTTTTTTCACTCTGTGTTTTGGGTCTTTTCACTCTTCTGGCATACTGCGATGTTTAACAATTGAAGGATTAAAAAATAAAAATTAATCCTGTTTGTTTTAATGAATGGATCCTTTCTGAATATCGGTTCTAAACCTCTGCTGCTTTTTCTTAATGCACATGTGTGGAATTTTGAAATCTGCTTGTGTTGGTCATTCACGTTGCTGGTGTGGAAAGCTGCTGGATCTTCACAATTCTGCTGCTGTTGCTTTTCTTCAGCTTTTCATTCTGTGCTGGCAGCTGTCAGGCCTGTCTTGTGTTTGTTTTGT